AGGTAGGTTTCATTGTGCTTGAAGTGACCTACTCCTTAGTCAGTTTAATTAATACATCAGTCAACTAAAGTTTTAGCTGGTTAAAGTGTTCCAATTTTTTATTAGTGAGGATGAAATTTAATAGCTGGGCAATAAGGCAAGGACATATTAACTTTTAGACTACTTTCATTACTGTGAGACAGGAAAAAAATGATTAAAGATTACATTTAATGGTGTGAGATACAAGGGTTATTGCGAATAACTTGTTACTTAATTTTTGAAGAAAAAATACAATATCAAAACACCATGTTTTAGGGTTGCCACATTTCAAAAAGTAAAAACCAGAACACCCCCATAATTTTCGACTGACTTGCCTAAAAAGATCTAGGACAAAGCGCCACCTTTCGGAAATCCCCCCCCCCCCGACAACAATTCCAGGATGCTACATGTTTTTAACACATAAAATAGCATCTTTTTAAAAAGTATACAGAAAAAAATAGAGGCACTAAAAGGTAGTAGTTAAGGGCATACAGTGGTACCTCAGGTTACATACGGTTCAGGTTACATACACTTCAGGTTACACACTCCGCTAACCCAGAAATAGTGCTTCAGGTTAAGAACTTTGCTTCAGGATAAGAACAGAAATCGTGCTCCGGTGGCAGCAGGAGGCCCCATTAACTAAAGTGGTGCTTCAGGTTAAGAACAGTTTCAGGTTAAGAATGGACCTCCGGAACGAATTAAGTATTTAACCCGAGGTACCACTGTATTATACAGTTCCTAAAAATTAAATAGTAGACCAGTATATATTGGATTAAAATATGATGTGAAATACAGTTGTTCAGTGTTCTTTCCCTAATGTCACAGAAAAGCACTTACACTGAGGCCAAGATAATATTAAAATGTATCTTTAAAGCATACATTGTTTAAATCACCTGTTTTTTCATCGGTTAACATTTATTTATGTTCACATCTGCAGTCATAATTATAGTGTTACTTTACGAAATTTAAAGTGCAATACTATACCCACTTAGCTAGGTATAAGCCCCACTGAACTCAATGAGACTTACTTCTAGGTAGGCATATGCGTGGGATTATGTTGTTAGTGTTGAATCTAAGAAAGCAGGTTAGTCTACACTAGTATAGAACAAAGGATGCTACCTTTTTTAGCTGCTTATAACTAAATAGCATGGGGAGAATTGAAACCAGCGAAACAATGATTTAAACAATTATGAATCAAAGTACTTTATTTTAACTGATTTATGAATTATATATGCCATTAAACAGGATTTTGCAAGGCAATATCTGGATCTCTCATCTCACCATATATTCTCTCAATCACATATATTTTAAGATTGACATTTTAACAACAAAGCAACTAACTCTTGAGTTACCAGAGCACTAGGAAGCTGGATATTTAATCTGTTGGATAGACTGTAAGACTAGCCCTTCTTATCATTAATGTAACCATATCCCTGCAATGTTAGTAAGTGTTGAAATTAGAATCTAGGCTAGGTTCCAGGGAAATTTTTACATCACGCTTAACTAATTACCCCTTGCAATTTTATTTAGACCTTCCACTTAAACATCTATGCAGAATTGGATGCTTATAAAACATTTAGTTGTCTGATTTCTGTTCTTAATAGAATGTTGTTGCTTAGGAAGCATGATTGATTGATTGACATGATTTCTGTACATAGAATGGAAATCTTTAGAAGGAATACTCTGTACAAAGCATGAGCAACTTCAGTTAATTTTGTTGGTCAAGAGAAACAAACAATGAATCCAAGCAATGAATATTTTCTCCTAAGAAGTGAAAGGTGAACATAGTGTGTGACTGAATATATACCGTATTTTTCACTCTATAGGACACACTTTTCCCCCTCCAAAAATTAAGGGGAAATGTGTGTGCGTCCTATAGAGCGAATGCAGGCTGTGCGGCTAAGCCCAAAGCCAGAACAGGGAGACGGAGCACTGCGCAGCGCTCCGTCTCGCTGTTCTAGCTTGGGGTTAGCTGCGCAAAGCCTCTGCAGGGCAGCAGGGTGCCTTCACCCCGCTGTCCTGCAGAGGCTAGCAAGGCTGTTCCCAAGCCAGAACAGCGAGATGGAGAGCTCTGTCTCGCTCTTCTAGCTTGGGGATTGCTGCGCGCAAAGCCTCTGCAGGGCAGCGAGGTGCCTTCACCCCGCTGCCCTGCGGAGGCTACAAAGGCTGTCCCCGAAGCCAGAACAGCGAGATGGTCTCGCTGTTCTAGCTTGGGGATGGTAGCCGCCTGAAGCCTCCAGAGCGCAGCGGGGATTCCCGCTGTGCTCCGGAGGCTTTGGGTGAATGCACCTTGAACACACCTTGCTTTAGAGGGGGAGAACAAGAAAAAAAAAATTCCCCCCTGCTCTCTCCCTCCTATGGGCCGGTGCATCCTATAGAGCGAAAAATACGGTATATAACATTCAGAGTTCACTTCAATTGGTTTTTGTTAGGAGCCTGACCTGGACACTGGGGATATACTTTGTCTAAGAAAGAGACTTGGGACCCATCATGGCCTCAGCTCACAAAGCCCTACACCACATCACAGATCATACTCTGCCACTTTCTCCATGGAGTTCTGATGAAGGTGGACCCATTGGGATGTTAAAAATCAGTGGATAAGCTCTTGTGTGTCTGCAAGGAGACTTCAAAAATAAAATATATAGTCAGAAGGAGGGGTTACTCAGGTTGAGTAGGCACCTACAGCACCTTGTAGCTCAACTGATGACCAGGAAGGGAAATTTGGTTGCACTAGCCTAAAGCTGCTCAGTCTCTGCTGGACATTTCCTGATATTGCAGTTCCCAATAGTCCATCTTGGGCCCTTCTACTTCCATTGCTTGTTTTCCTGCAGTTTAAGCATCAGCCCCCTTGCCCTGCCTTGGTCTTAGACTGCTTGGGCCTTGGTATGAAGAACTGACCTGGTACAATTCTAAAGCTGACCAAAGGCCATCTTAGGAGCTGTTGGCAGTGGCATATCTAGTCTACTGAGCATTTGTTCATCGTTCATTTATCTCACACTTTCCAACGCATTCTCCCAGCACTTCCCCAGTCCCTTTGTTTTGCTTTTAAAAAGAGTAAATTTGTTTCATTAAAACGACCGAGTGCTTTAATCCAATTTAGTTTTGCAAACCTAAAGTTCTGCTGTGTGATTGAATCACAAATATGACAGCCTGGAGGCCAGCGATGTTCCAGGAATGTGGGGCTCAAATTGGAGTATGTTGGGGATGGCTGAAGATTTGCAGAGCCTTAAACTGCCTCATTCCCCTGACAGATTCCCCAAAGGAGCCCTCAGCTGTACCACTCCTGGCACAATTAATTCCTTCCTGTTGATCATGGGGCTGGAAATCAAAATCAAAAAAGAGGTTTAATGAAAGCAAAAGAAGGGCTTGAAAAGTTCACTGCCACCCACTGTCCTAGTAACAGTGAGCCATAGCTCTGCTATGGGGTTCTCTCACACACATAGGGTTGCTCCATTCATTTAGCTTTAAGAAATGGGATTAATAGCCCCTGGCCTCAAAGAAAACAACTTTTCATTCATTTGCAGAATTGGGGGCGGGGGGGGGGGGCAGAAACATCAGTATTTATTTAGCCTGCAGCCCTTGGCCTAATTTCATGCAGATGGCAAGGAAAGGAAGGAGCTAAATGGCTGTTAATATTCTGTAAACTCACAGGTTCCTGTCAGACAGTTTGGGAGTATTTTAAATTATTATTTTAATTTCATTCACACACAGATATATCCTTCTTGATTCCTAGGAGTTCCTCTGAGAATGCAGAAGCTGCTAGAGGGACTTACGTTGGTAATGGGCACCCACCCGAATGCAGAAAGGCAAAGAGAGGAACAATTTCTTGAACAATCTAAGACATACTTATTCCCAAGTGGACATCCTACTGATATGTTAGGGAGTAATATGTTTTTGTTTAGCTGATTCATACTTGTAAAAATCTATCA